ATAACTGCATTTGAGGAATAAGTAACAGGTCATATAAACAGGGAGGTTGAATGATTAGATATGCCATCACAGGAAAATGTAGGCTTTATGATGGCAAATCAGTAACACGATAGATTATGTGGTACCATTTACTGAGTTCTGAACACAAGAGAATCATTAATTCGAGCAACATGAAATAAAAATACAAATTGGCTTTCGAATTCAGATGTATGCTAAATATCAAAGGACCCGCCATTCCAATGGCCCTACACCTCCAGCCCTCCCATATAAATACATCAGGGATTCTCCATAGGGTAGGCTCAGGGATCTCTGGCTTCATACTTCCAGGCACTCTATCTTCAAAAAACTTTCCTTTTTCTCTTGAAAAAAAAAATAAACCAACAAACAATGTCATGAGAATAGATCAAATCGACTAGTAAAATAGTATGGAATATAGTAAGGGAAGGAAAAAGTCTATAGCATTTCATTATATGAAAAATAGATAATGATAGAGATTCTCATAGCAGATTAAGTACTACCACTGAGTGAATTAGTATGAAAACAAATTGAACTGAAAATTGGTAAGCAAAGGGAAAAAAAAATGTATAGAGAAAACAGGAAAGACAACTTGGATGAATTGTTGAGAGAATTCAAGTTAAGTGAGGAAAGAAAGTGTCCAATACATTTATCCCCATTACCCCAAACGTTATTAATGAGTTTAGTAAAAAAAAATTTACTTAAGTCTATGAATAAGTGAAAGCCAGATTAATGTGAGCCATGACAGGCCCTAACCCAAGAAGTGAACAAAAAGGAAGTTAAGAGTATGTGAAAGCAACTGTTTCTAGAAGTTTATGTTTGAAGAATGATGAATGGATTATGAGTATGACAGACAAGAAAGGAGTCTGGCCACGTGTTCAGGTTAGGAAATAGATCAGTCACTACATAATGAAGTGTTTCTAAATTTCTAGCCTTCAGTAAGTACTTTGCAATATCCCGTGACGGTAGTCTGACTTTTAATTTTCTGTGTTGTTTACCCTCCTTTTATTTCTGGTAGTTTTCTAATAATTCTGAACATTCTTCAACTTCGCCATCTATTATGTAGCCTCTCTCTCCTATAATAAACTCTGGCGGTTTTTTTGCTCCAAATATAAAAATAGGTAACTATAAAAATTCAAAAGTTAACGTTACAGTGTTTAACAAAATTGTCATAAAATTTTCACATTAGTAAATGCAAAGAGCATAAATTAAAAATGTTATATTTGATATTAGATAACACTGGTCCTACAAATTTTTTTCCAGATTTTTTTTGCCATAGGACATTTACATTTGCCAGAGAGAGAGAGAGAGGAAAATGAGAAATCACCCCTGAAATGAGGGATGACCACCTGTAACCCCTTCTCCTTCATTCTTCTCTTGAGATTTTGGTCATACATGCACACACTCGGTTTGCTCTCAATCTATGGGTGTGGGACTCAAACTGTGGAGTTGGCCAAGTGGGATCCAGTGCCTTAACCACATGGCCACCTACTGTTCCTATCTTAAAAGTTCTTTCTTTTTATTGTATAGACTTGTTTATTCATTCATATATTTTAATTTGACCAGAAAGACACACAGACAGAGAGAGAGAGAGAAAGAGAGAGAGGGAAAGTGAGAAAGCAAGCCACCAGGTCTGAGACTTGAACCGTGGTTGGCCATGTGGGAGTCCAGTGCCCTTATCCATCACGCCACCTGCCGGCCCCACTCTCACTCATTTTTGTCCCTGGAGATATTTGGGTGAAAGGGCAATGCTCTTCCAAATTCCAACAGGAAGCTGGCAACAAGGGGAACATATTATTGTGGAATGCTCAATCACTTAGTAACCAAAAGGTTATTAATTTTCCCAGAGTAGAGATTTCTTAAGAGAAAACTACCAATATGCAATGATCCTGACGTCTTTCTGGGAAGGATACACTATCTTGTGCTGTTTGTCCAATCACCCTGTCCTCAGCCACACAGCCGTCCACCCCCAGTTC